CCCGGCACCGGCAGCACTCAGCCCACGCTGCCAGCCGAGGGCACGGGTGATGGCAGCCCAAAATGGGAGCTCCCAGGTGCAGGGCTGCACCTCAGCCCCATCTGGGCTTTGCTGGGGTGGCTGGTTTGCCGGTCCCGGTGGGGTGGGAAATCCCCGCACCCCAAGCGCCACCCGTTCGGCGACACGGCCGAACCTGTCCCTGGGGCGTGGGCAGCCCCGCTCGACACCCGTGTGCCCACGCCGCCCCGACTGGGCTGGCGTGTTCTGCTGCTCCGCTGGCCCCAGACACCCCGCTGCCATCGCTCTTTCCCACGGGCGGCTGGGCAGGCTCGTCAGGGCCGTGTGTGAGCCTGGCCCGGCTGCTCCCATGGGACCTTGAACCGCTGCGGCACAGCTGGGACCTTGTGCAAACTCACCAGGCTGAAAAAAACAGCCACACTCCCACACCCCGCGTTTTAAACCTGACGGCGCCTCGGAGAAAGATTTGCCTGGGGGAGCCCTGGGAGTCAGGGCAGCTCTGGGTGTCAGGGCAGCTCTGGGTGTCAGGGCAGCTCTGGGAGTCAGGGCAGCTCTGGGTGTCAGGGCAGCTCTGGGAGTCAGGGCAGCTCTGGGTGCCAGGGCAGCTCTGGGTGTCAGGGCAGCTCTGGGTGTCAGGGCAGCTCTGGGTGCCAGGGCAGCTCTGGGTGTCAGGGCAGCTCTGGCTGTCAGGGCAGCTGGCCACCTGTGTCTGGACGCGGTTGTTTAGGCTGTGTCTGCGGGGCACGATGCAGGAATGGTCCCCCTGGCTTTGGGTATGGGACAAAAAGGTGTTTATATAAAGAGTTAAAAAAATGCGAAGCTGGCAGAAGGGAAGGAACCTATTGCAAAACAGCCCTGAAACCTTTTCCTCCGTGTGCTGGGCTTTGGGGCACAAGCCAGGGCAGTGGCAGGAGGACGTGCTGTCAGCATCGGGGGGGCACACCACAACAAACCCCGATTCAGCGTCCCCAGCCCCGTTGTGTAACGCAGACAGATCCTCTTTGTCTCCCTTTTTTTTTTTTTGCCTTCCTTTTGAGCCCATTTTCTGTTCCAGCCAAAATCTCTGCCTAGCTTTTCCAGCTCTATCTCCCACTGTGCCAGCTGCCCTTTTTCACCCTTTCCTGTGGATTCCCATCCCTTTGCGAGTGTCTGGCTGGGACAGAGGACATCTCCCCTCCCCAGTGGCACCTTTATCTCTGGCCATGCAGATGGCAATCCTGTGTCCCGACCTGGGTACAGTGGCAGTGGCTGTCACAATGGCACCTGCTCCAGGTGACGTAACCCTGCGTGGATTAACCCCCCTGGGAGGCTCAGGGGATAAGCTGGGTGCTGAGCCACCAGGCGCTAAGCAGGGTGCACAGACCCAGGTCAGTCCATCCCCTCCTCAGAACACACTTTTTTGGATGTGAAGGGAGTCAGTGGCAGTTCCTGAGGGATTTAGGAAGATGTTTTGAGGAGAGTGGAGTTTGTCCTTGCTGCATCCCTGGTCCTGTGTAGGAGGCGATGATGCCAGAGCCATGGGAGTTTTTGAGTGGGTGTGGGAAGACTGGAGCAAAGATAAGTGGTGTGTAGCTGGGAGCTTCTGCCTCATTTTCCCCACACCAGCAGTGGGGGTGGTCTCAGCTCTCTTTTTGGGGGTCACCAGGGCATCACCATTCTGGGGGTGGGGCAGAAGGAGATTGCCAGCTGTTCCAGTTTGGCAGCTCCTGCTGGGGAAAGGCAGGAAAAATCCCTACCCTTTCCTAAAAGGCTTTGGAGGGCTGAAGTGACACGTCCAGGCACGCAAGGAGAGGCCAGGGCTGGGAAAGCAGCCTTGGTGGGGAAGATCACAGCTCGTGTCTTCTCCACTAGGCCAACCTTTTTATTTAAATTCCCCCCCTGTCCCAGCTATCCTTACAACCTGCTTTCCTGGTTCATCACGCCACCAGCTCTGGCACCACCAAAAGCTGACGCTACACAGAATCAGAGCTGCGCATCGATCCCCACATCATCCTGGGCAGCACACCAAAACAGCCCAATCCAGCAGGGTACCCGCCCCCCATCACACCCATGACCCCACATCATCCACCAGCACCTCTTCCTGGCGGGCTGCCCTGGCCAGGCAGTGTCCCACCGCCACCAGCACCTTCCCCAGGCGCCGGTCCAGTGCCCGCAGGTGGGGCTCAGCCAGGACAGGGGCCAGTGGATCTGCGGCCAGCGCCTCCCGCAGCACGTCACTCAGGCGGTAGGGCTGGGTGGCCAGCAGCTGCAGCCGCAGGTAAGTCGACTTCTTGATGCTGCCAGAGATGAGGAGGGAGAGGTCTCAATAGGAGGAGCCTCTCCCCAGCAGCAGATCCGGGGTGGGTGACAGCCCCTTACCTGCAGCATTGCTGGAGAGGGGCCAGGATGGATGGTTCATCGCGTGAGTGTGTGCCGAAGCTGGGGGTGGGGAGAAGCCCATAAGGGTGTGTCAAAATGGCATTTCAGCAAGACTGGAGGTCTCCTCCACCCCTTTGCTGTGATTGCTCCCCCCTACTCCCCATCTTTACCCGCGACCATTGTCCAGGTGGAGCAGGAAAGTGTCATTCCCAAATTTCTCAAAGGTCTCGTAGTGGTGCCGGTCCATGTTGCCTGTGGCGGGCCAACAAATTTGCCATCAGGTTGTGGGCTGGGAGATAGGAGCAGGGACATGGAGCACTCTGCTGGTGTGAAACTGAAACCCAGAGCCTGAGGAAAAGGGTTGGAGGCACCTCGAAGGTGTCCATCTGGTGGCCATGGCTGTGCAGGGGAACTGAGCAGAGACCCCATGGCCTCTAGGCCCCTTCCCATCCCAGCAGCCCCATAGAGGGACAAGAGTGGCAAATGGAGCAGAAGTAATGGCAAAGGCATGACTGGGTGGTCAGGAATGAGGAGATGGGAAACTCTCCCAGTCAGATGCTGGTGAGGCGACAGTGCAGGGAGGAAGAAGTGGCCCAGGGACAGGAGAGGAAACAAGAGCCCTGGGCAGCATTATCTCCACCTCTGGCTCTCCAGGGGCTGCATGTGAGAGCGTGCTGAAAGGTGTTTCCCATATCCATGGTATTCAGCTGGGATCTCCTCAGAATCTCTGGACCTTCGACTTCTGCCTGGGAAATGCCCTGGTGGCACAGCCCTGTGCCCTCATAGTGGGTAAGACTGCAGCTCAGTGCAGCCTGAACAACAGATTGGCCAACAAACCTCACAGGGCATGGTACCATGGGACATGGAGCCATTTGGGCCTCTTGGTCTTGAGGGACCTCCATAGCCCCCAGCACAGGCACGGAGGGGCTCACCCATGAGGAAATCCAGGATCGTCATGTCGATGAGGTCGAGGAGGCGATGGCCCCTGTCATAGGGCGGTGTCTCTCGCACCTGAGAGCAGTAGTTGGGATTCAGCTCCCACCTGGTGACAGAGATCGAGGAGGGCAATGGGGCCATGAGAGTGGCTGTGGAGAAGCCCCCTCCCATCCCATGGCTCTTCTGGCCCATGTCCCCACACCCCCCATGCCCCATCTCACTCAGCCTTCTTGCTCTTGTGGTAGGAGCGGCGCCAGGGGCTGCGCCAGGAGCGGCGCTTGGCCAGGGTCTTGTCAGGGAGCAGGGCAGCCATGGAGCCCTCCAGCTGGTCCGGTTTGCCGCAGAGGGCGTGCTCGGTGGAGCAGTAGTAGGAGCACTCCCCATAGAAGCAGACATTTCCCGCTGGCCATGGGGAAAAAGCAAAGGTTGACAAAGAGAAGGAAGGCAATGAGCCCCAGGTAGAGTGATCCAGCAAGCAGCCAGGGGAGGATCCTCCATGTGCTCTGGCCAAGTGCTACCAGCAAAGCAATGGCAAGGGAGGCTGAGGAGCAAAGGCCTGTGGCAGGGTACCCATGGGAGCTGGAACAGTCTCCAGTGGGATAGTTTGTCTAAGTGCAGGGGAGCAGCAGCCAGCTCCAGGGGAGCTCCAGCCAGGTGGCCACAGGAGAGGGCAGAGAGCATGAAAGCTCACCTGGGGAGATGAAGAAAGTCTTGGCCAGTTTCTTGTCTGTGGTGATATCCCGAATTTCCTTTGTTATGTTGACCAAACGGCCAGAAACTGGGGGGATTCGCCGGAAATCCAGGATCCTGAAACACGAAACTTGGAACCATTTCTTACTGACCTCAGCTGGTTTAATAACAGCGAACTTTTAAAAGTATTAAAACTGACAGGAGACACAGGTATCCCTCACAACAGGGAGCAAGAGGTGGGATGAAGGAGCAGTTTCTCTGGTGCTTTGCCAGTATGGGAGAGCAGGGTTGGATGCAAAGCTTATGCTCACCTGTCCAGGTGGAAGGCTGCAATCTCTGCATTGTGCCGCTCAAAGTCTGAGAAGTAGAAGAAATCAATGGGGGTCTCCTGGTCCCGGGTCTGCCTGGAAGGAGAGGGGATGGTGGGGGCAATCATCATGGATGGGGCCACTCCAGGCATGGGATTAGTTCTAAACCCCCACTCACCTTGTTCTCCCTGGTGACACTGGAGACACAGCCAGACCCAGTCTCCTCCACTCACTTCCTGATGGGTGGGTGGTTCCAAGCCCCCTATCAAGGCTCCCACACAACCCCTGCCTCCAATTCAAGGGTGGGGAAACCCTCACGGACTGGAGGCTCCTGGATGGTCCTCATGGACCACCTTCTTCTTTCCACCACTGGAGGTCACTACCCCATCACAAGCTGCATCCAGTTTGCAGCAAGCACCACTGGGGAAGGCAAGGGAAACGAGACCATCCTGCTCGCCTCGGTTTGGGAATGGAGGTGCTTGAAGCGAGGCAGCACATGAAGCATTTCTCCACTTCTCCCTCCATGGTCCCCTCTAACCACTTCTCGCTACCTAACAGGACTGTGTGGGTGAGGTATAGGGTTGTCCCAGGCTCTACTCACTTCATGGGCTTGAAGAGGGCCTGCCCATAGTTTGGGAACGTCATGATGAGCTTGAGCTGGGTCCCACCAGACTTCTGGACTGAAAGGAGGGAGGGGATGAGGGAGTCAGGCAGCAGGCAGCGGGGCAGGGGTGTGAACAGGGGTACAGGCAAGGAGGTGGTACCTGAACTGACGATCCTTTGCGTGGCCAGATCCTGGAGGAGCATGGGCAACAAGGGGTCCCGGCGGGGGTACAGCTCATAGCGGTTGATACCGATGTGGAATTTGAGCCAGGTGGGGTAGGTGTCATAGGCTGTCTTCCCTGTCGGGAGGAGCGTCTCGGCTTTACTGCTGCTGACCCTGCAGCCCGACAGCCACCACCACCCCAACAACAATGACAGCTTTTAGTCGGGACAGGACGGATCCCGTGTCTCTGGGCCCTTCCTGGGAGCCAGTGCATGAAGGGTGAAGTGGGGAGAAAGCCCAGAGCAAGCCCTGGATGTGTACCAGGTTTCATGGTGGTGGAACCCCCTGCCCCATATGCCCTCCATGGGGCTCTTGGCACCTGGCAGATCCCACCCAAAGTTGGTGGCCAGGAAGACCCACCAGCATGGCTGGATTGGACACAGTGTCTTCCCTCTGTCCCCCATGGGAAATCCCTGGGTTGATCCTGCTTCTCTCATCCATGCATTTATTTCTTTGCTGGAAGAGACAATCTCATTGTTTTTCCCTAAGGGATTGGCTCCCAGGAATACAGTCTGCTACACCCCTCCATGTGCTTACTGGGGACACACATGTGTACACAGAACAAGGGTGGAGAAGCATGGGCTTCCCAGCCACACTCAGCACTGACCTGAACTCCCATCCTCAACAACCCATTCCTCTTGGGTGGGTTTCCCCAGGGGGATAAGTTGGGGGTTAGCATTATCCCTGTCTCTGTGCATCCTGCAAATTTGCACTTTCCTGGCATTCAAGGGAGCCCCTAGGGGTATCTGCCCCACCTCTGTGCTAGGACACACTAGCAGTTCAATCGGACAGTTAGCCCAGGGCATCTATAACCCAAATCCATGTCTCTCTCTAGGAAAACAGCCTGTGCATTGATTTCATCAAACCAGACCCAAGGCTACTCATAGGTGTTCCTAAGAGACAAGGCAAATGCCCATTTGTGGAAACCAGCACTTAAGCCAGGTTTTATTCTCTCCCAGTTCTGGCAGGCACCACTTTTGGAAGGTGTGCTTTCCATAAGGAAGCTGCTGTGTGTTACAGTGCTAAAGGTTTTAATATTTTCCCTTCTAATTAGAGGTTAGTAGTCCAAAGATAAAAATAGACAGCCATCAGCAGTCAGCTCACCACACAGCCGAGCCTAAAGAGGTCAGGCAATATCCTGCAAAATGCAGGACAAGAATGGTCTCGTGGTTAGAGGTAACCTACATTGCAGGCTTTGCATCTCCAACATACCGTGAGAGGGGAATAAAACTGGTTAGAAATCTGGAGTGGAGACTTCCTCATATACAGAGAGAGACTGAGGGCTAGTCTGCACTGGGGAAGGAGCTGAGATCACTTAATAGATATCCATAATACAATGAACAACTCAAGAGTCTCCTTTAGCTTTCCTGTGTGCTACAAGTTTATGGGTAGGAGCCCAAAAATTCAGGGCTAGGAGAGGATCTGAGATGTGAGAAAAGTGTAGCAATTGAGGGGGCCCCTCTGGGGTAGGATGCTGAGCTACAGAAAGAAACTACATGTTTGGTCCCTGCTGCTTGTCCCCTCAAACCCACATATCCCCCAAATTCAAGCTAGAGCTGAGCTTGCTCCTCACCATTCATCACTCCCTCTGCTGTGCAGGCTGAACTTCTCCATGGGGTTGATGATAAACAGCTTGTCTTTCTCTGTCACCTCTGGGACTGGGATGTTGTAAAGAGGATGCTCGAAGAGTGCTGCCAGCTTGGATCCCTTGGTCCACCCTGCATTCCCTTCTTCATGTTGCTGTTGGACCCCTGGCTCTTCAGCCCCCGAGTGCAGCCCCACTTTCTGTGGCTGGGAACTTTTCTCCAAGGAGCCGTTGCTTCCACTGAAATCCTGAAGGATTCGCAGGCTCAGCTTTTTGAGGCCAGCTGGCATGGGGCTGCCTGAAGGGACACCCCCAGAAATTGATGCTTTCATATCACAGCCACAGGGCCTGTGGGCTGTGGGGAGAGCAAAATCCATCACCAGGTGCATGAGAAGGGCCAGGAGCAGAAGAAGGAGAAGGCTGATTTTAAATTTCCTCTGGAGAAGCGTTTGCAGCCGGCACCGCATCCTTCCTCACACAAAACACTCAGCAAGGGATGGGCAGCCACACAGGGTTAAAAACGTTGGTGTGGCTGCAGCCTCTGTTCAAAAGTAGGAGAGAGGTTTCCTGGATTTAGAGCATCTCAGCAAAAGAGCAACCAGTGCAAGTGCAGAGTGGCAGGAAAGATCTGTCACCACAGCATCTCACGGTGTGACACCACCAGGATGGGACAGGAGGTTGTGGCAGGGTTTATCAGCGCTGATAAGGGTCAAGCTGGCACTGCCAAGGTTAGAGTGAACGGGGCAGGTTTCAAATCAATAGCTGTAACACTGGCTCAGGGACAGCAATGGCTGCAGATGACTCCCCACTGTCCTGTCTCTCAGTGCTCACACCTGCACAGGGCCACAGAATATTTCCTTGAATACAGGGCAGTCAAACGGTTCTGCCCCTTGGCAGCACACACCCTGCCAAGCATGATGTAGCCCCATTCCCCATGTTCATCATAGCTGCTCTCTCAGAATCCAGAAGAATTTTTTTCCCATTGCTCAGCTCTATCAATTTTATCACCCTCCCTCATCCATTGAAAATCAGTTGTTCTCAAAAACCACTCAAACTGGATAAAACAAAGGGGATGTGAGTATTGACATTGCTGTGAGGAGAAATGCTGGGTATGCAGTGTAAAGAAGGGCTACCAGGCAGGTGAGTTTCAGGGTCAGAGATATTCCCAGGACCTCTAAATCAGGTAGGGGAGGCAGGCAGGAGTGGGGATACTGCCTTGGGCATCAGCACAGAGGGGCAGTGGGACCCACCAAGTGCTGGGGAAGATTGTCAGCTTGTGGAAGATTTTTTATTTTTACAAGAAATTCACTTTTTCAGTGACACCCAAAGACACAGAGCTGGGATGTGTGCACAAAAACAGTTCATGACTTGTAGGGGTGGAGCTTTGTATTTGATAAGGGACAGAGAAGCACGGGATCACTTGCAATAGGTCTGTGGGCTGGGGTACAGTCTGGCACAACATTTCTTTTCTTTTTGATCTTCCAAAGGATGCAGAAGGCATGTGAAATCCCATACATCATGTAGTCCTTCCTTGTCGCGTGATGCACCAGCAGCGGCTCGGAAATGCTCCCATCCAGGGAAGGTGTGATGGGCAGTGGGCAGGAGGGGATATTCTGGAGCCCCCCTCCTCTGCTGCCATCCCTGCGCTGCCCTCTCCGCACGCTCCTGTGCCGTGTGGCTGGCTGTGTGTCTCGGTCCCCTGGCAGGCGGCGCGCTGGGAACGCCGTGTCCCCGGTGTTCTTGGCTCGCGTGTCCCACGGCGCGACAGTTGCCTGGAAACCGCCTCCGGCTGACACCATCACCGCCCCAGATTCAGCCAGCCCCGCGTTCCCCAGCCTTCTGCTAGCAAGATGGCCGAGGAGAGCCGGGGCAAGCGAGGAGGAGGAGGAGGAGAGCTTTCCAGCCCGGCTGGCGAGCTCGAAGCCCCGCAGAAGGAGCTGCTGGAGGGCAGCAGATGGCTTCCCTGGGCGGGAGAACACAGCGTCTTGCTCCGGGAAGTTTGCTGAATTCAGTCCGGACACATGGTTCAGACAGAAGGCCCCTAGGAGGGGCTGGAGCTGGAACATGGGATCATTAGGTCATGGCTCAGAAAAACAACCAACCAAAAATCAAAACACCAATTCCGTGTTTAACTGGACGTGTACTAACTGATCGCATCAAAGGAGCTGGGCTCGGCTCCCGGGTTTCATTATTCCACAGCCAGCCCAGAAGAGAGGAGACCTCCTCCTTCCAGTGTCCCAAATGGGGCTGGAGGGGATAGAAACCTCTTTCTCATATCTTGGAGTCAGGCACAGGGACCCTGTGGGCTGAAGCCACCCTACTGGCTTCCAGTTAATGAAAAATTTGCAATCCTACCTCCTCACCCTGATTTAGCATCCCATTGGAAAGGAAAGGCAGGGGGCTTAGGTGAGGCATTTTCTACCCTTAGTACTTCAATATTAGCATTAAATATTAACCAAAAGATTTTTCAGCGAGTCAGACATGAGCCTGCAGCAACAGAGAAGAGCTGGAGACTTTCAAAGCCTGTCCTGATCACCTGACAAGCACTTCGATGTACCTTGTTGCCATGACATCATCATAGAGACGTGGTTGAATTTGCACCTCTTTCTTCTCATCTCCCCCCTCCAGCTCTTCCTCCATCTTCCCAGCAGGTTCGAGTCACCCTTGGGGCGGAGGAGGAGCCCTACATCCGAGGACATTTTCACTGCTGGCTCCAAATCAGGACTCATCGGCAGCTGATAATGATGTTCCCGTCTCCCCTCAGCAGGGAGGGATGAAGTCATGAGGCACAGCCTCTGAGCTGCTATCGCAGCTCTAGGGGACGGGTGGATAGAAAGAGTCATTTTGGCTGCCACCCATCCATCACCCTGCGTTTTTCATCTCATTTTCTACATCTGACTCAGCCTGATGCTTTGATGGGTAATGGCAGCAATATGCAGGGGGGCAAGAAATGAGAGGAAAACGCAATAGCAAGAAAACTGTTGCAAACTCCCAGCTTTCCCCTGAAAATCCATAAGGAAAAATCATCCAGCAACTGAGAGCAATTTTATAGTAAAAAGTAGAGAGGCCTTAGAAGCTCCAAAGTCTCATAGAATCCTAGTTTGGGCTGGAAGGGACCTTTGGGGGTCACCCAGTCCAATGTCCTTGCAATGACCAGGGACACCTTGAACTAGATTATATTGCTCAGAGACTCATCCAACCTATCCCTGAATTCTTCCAGGGGTGTGGCACCCACCACCTCTCTAGGCAACCTCTTCCAGTGTTTCACCACTCATTCTAAAAGACTTCTTCCCTATATTCAATGTAGAACAAACCTCTTTTAGTTTAAAACCTCTAACCCTTGTCCTATCACAAGAGGCCCTGACAAAAAGTCCCTCTCAGGTTTTCTTGTTGACACCCTTTAGGTACTAGAAGGTGCTATAAGGTCTCTCCACAGTCTTCTCCAGGCTGAAGAACTCCAACCCTCTCAGCCTGTCTTCTTAGGAGAGCTGTGTCAGCCCTCTGATCATGTTTGTGGCCTCCTCTGAACTGGATCCAGCAGGCTCATCAGCCACAGAGGGGTATCTTGAGACCCAAAACACAGGATAAGGACCATCTCTTATCCAAAAACCTTACTCCTCTGAAAATTACAGATATGACCAAAGATGTTCCAGCTCCACAGCAAAAGGAGGGTGAAAGTCTTTTTTCTAGCACATGGCCAGCAAAGCATAGCTCAACTTGCAACAGGCAGGACAACTGATCTGATTGAACACTTGCCCCAAGCTCTGACACACACAGACACGCTTTTGGAGGCTGATGCTTGTGCCTTCAGGAACAATACCAATGACAGGAATGCAAACCAGCTAACAAGGGTTTGCCTCCTCATGGTAACTTCCTGTAGGAAAGCTGTTACCCTTGTGAATAAAAATAGCCTGCCACTCTCCTGTGAGCTACCTTGTGCTCACCTGCTGAGAATGGCAGTGTGGCAGCTGACTTGCTGCACGTTCACACCTAGCTCACCTCAGTGTTTGCACACAGGCTTTGAGAAGGCTGGGGAGCACTCACCCTTCTCTTGTTGCCAGTGCAGATCGTAGAGACATTAGCTTTAGTCAGCTGGTGGCCAAGAAGATAAACAGGCAGCAAGTCCAAGAGATTGTGTGCTGAGGTCAGCAGCTGCCCGTGGTCATCTGCAGGTCACCACGACCCTGCAGAGACTCCCATGACCAGCACGCCTGTGCATATGCGCAGAACAGTTAATTATTCATTAGTGTGAAAGAGGCACAATTAAAGTGATGGTGGTATGGCTGAAGGGATCATCCCACTCTAGCATGGGGCATTCTAAAGACTTTACCTCTTGCTCTGAATTTAGAAGAGAGAAAGTTGCAGAAGAAGAAGTAATGTTTTCCACCTGCCAGCTGTAGAAAGTGTTGCCAATAGCACTATTTTCACATAAAGTCAGCCAGCTGGAGGGACACAGAACAACCACACAATGAGACAGCTCAGAGGATTTGGGCTCTTCTACACAGCACAACGGTCCTGATCGTGGGGCAGGAATCATGGTACCAACCTACCCTGGCACAGCCAAGCACAGATGGTCCAAATTTGAAATAATTCTTAGTTGTCTTCATATTACTGCAATTCCTGGCTCCTAACACAATGAAATTGAGAAAGGACATCTCTAACATAACATCTGAGGTTCAGAAAAAGGAACAAAAGGACTTGTAAGACCAGGTTGATCCACCACAAGCATTAATGCAGGAAGATCCTACAGACTTGAATTATGGACTGGACTAGAGATGCCAGCTGACAACATTCTGAGAGAAAATCTGAAAATTAAGGAGACTCCAAGGGTCAGAGTTGAGGCACACTGGTGAGGCAACAGACACAGTTACATTCCCTTGCTGCTACTGCTTAGACAGCTGCCTGCACAGAGGGATGTGGCCAGCAGCACCATGGGCCTGGCAACCCTCCTCACCATCATGGCTTGCACTGGTAAAAGGTGCTGAACAGGGAGGGTGAGAGGAAACCTGCACAGCTTACTTATTTCCATGTTTCTTGAGCTACTTAGCCTACATAAACACACACAGAGACATTTTACTAAACTTTTATTGTAAAAACACAGTTCCCCAGGTTTTATAAATAAGCCATACACGTAACATAGTTACGCTCATTCAATCCTCCAACACCGACAGCTTTAAAAAAATTAAACAGGCTAAAAGAAAGCAAGTCCAGAGAGACATTAGGTTTCTGATGACCAAGTTATATTTCACATGGAGCCTCCTTCCTCTGTCAGCCTCCAAACAAGATGCTGAAAGTACACAGCACTTGCAACACCCCCAGGAACTGACAGGGAGGCATTTGAGCCTTAAAAAGAGCTCTCACCCACTCCCCAGGCGTCGTCAGCCGCCTGTGTTTTCATGCTGTCTCAGTGTGCTGTGGGTGAGAAAGGAGGGGGCAGTTTGCATAGCAACCTCCTACACCCAGGCAGCTCAGCTGCTGTACCCTCCCAAAACAGCAGGGAAGGGCAATCTGGGACTGCTTCCCAGTGGCTCACACCTCCACAGGCAGCCTGAAGGGAGACCCTTGGTGCTGTCAGGTCTGCACAGACATCTTAGAAGGGAGGAAGAATGTATAAGCAGCATCCAGAGAAAGACAAGTGCTGGTCAGAGCCATGCTGCATGGTAGCAGAGAGAGCAGAGGAGAGAGGAAAACTGTGTGGAATAAATGGGAGTTAAAGAAACCATAGAGCTAGATAGCACCTTTTTGTTTTTCCTTTCCCCTGCTAGCGCTGCCGTGCAGTGTGTTGTGAGATTACCTATTCCTCACTTCCTTCCTGCTCCAGCTCAAACACGAAGGAAAGAGCCACAGACAGATGAGAAATCCCACAAGCAAGGACAGGACAGTTTAGCAAGTTTATACACACACACACACACGCAACTTTATGTATCCCACAGAACTGTTACGTCAGTATGAAAAAAAGAAATCTTGACATTTAAGTATTAAAAATAAAGCCCCACCTCCAGATCATACAAAACTTGTCAAGAGCAGGAAGAAATCTCTTGTAATCAGCAAGTCTGGGACCCGGCCAGGGGTCAGGAGCACTTCCAGACACACACGGCCAGGCTGCCACCAAAGAACATGTACAGCAGGTTCTTCACCTCATGAGTGATCTCAAAGCCAAAACCTTCCCCAATCACCACATGCCAGGAGGACCCAAATCTCTTGTCCATTGTCTCTTTGATCATCTTGGCAGCACTCTGGAGAACATTAAGGAATACAGCATAGGGTGAGACAAAGCAAACAGGAAGGTTTTATGCAAACATCTGCCTAATCTTTTCCTCCCTTTAAGACTGCTTAAGCCACACTCAAGCCTGGACAACAGGTATAGCAGCTGCACTGCAGAAATTGGGAGCTCTCCAGAGGTAACCCCAAGGGTAGAAATGGTCTCAGGAGCCTCCAGCACAGCAGTCAGGAGAAATTAAAGAACTCTATCACTTCTGTTGCTCATACAGTCTGAAGCAAGAGTTCTGCTTTAGATGCTGCTGGAGTTATGCTGGTTGCAGTGACCATGAGAGCTGATTCAGGTCACTAAGCTGCAGCTATTTTTACAGGAGTCCATTTTTTTCTCCAGCTAATTACCAAAACACTGAAAGTAGGCTGACTTTTAAAAGACTTGCTTCTCCCAGATCACACCCTACCTGATAAAAAAATAAAAAAAAAAATAAAAAAAAAAATCGAGAGGAAGATTTTGCAGTGACAGGCGGTGTCCTGCCCATGAAGCAAGGTATGTTTCCCCTTTATTGTTGGTCCTCAAGCCAAGAGGGAATACTTAACAGACTGTCATGTACTCATCCCCAAAACAAGAGACTCCATGCAGTTCTGAAACAAGCCCTCAGGACACAGGGCATTTTATGAACAGAGTGGAAGCATGTCTCAGGAAGGCAGGATAAGCAAGGAGCTAAGGTTTGGGAGCCAGCACCACTACTAATCTCTGAAAAGTGCTCCTATGGATCTTGCAGACCAAGGGATCTGAATCTGAGATCTGGCCAAGCTCTTTGCCTCCTTCTACCCTAGCTTAGTGCAGAGAGAGTAATAAGATGCCAGGACTTGACTCCAGTCTGCCCTGGACCCTTATCCCTGCTCCTGCAGGTTCCCTGAACTGCAGTAACAGCAGGCTGCCCATTGTGGGAGGTGGCCGGTACCTCATTGTTGGTGGCGTGCTTCTCACACGCCGTGACGCACAGCTCCATGGTCTCCACACGCATCTCCTCCGGCATGTCCGAGTGCTGGAAAGGGCAAACAGACAAGACAACTAAGCAGAAAAATAAGAGCTGGACACAAGGCAACAGTAGGTTGCTCTAACTTCTGCATTGGCTCTATCACAGGCTTAGACACTGTAAATATGAAAAGGGCTTACTGCATTAAAAGTGAACCATTGCTCCAGCCAACGAGGAATTCTCTACCTACATGAAAACCAGCACTGTGTAAGCACAGCTTAAAGGAGGAGATCAAGACATTTGCCAGCTTTTCTGCTATAAGATAAAGGGAAAGCACACTAACACTGTTTCAACCTCAGTCTTTAATTATTGCTATATGAGTAACAAAGAAATCAAAGTTACACAGCCTTTTCTTTTGCTGCTGCTATCTGGCTGGCTAGCAAGATCTTTTGCTCTAGCTTCTCTAGGACAAAAAAGCAAGCTGCATCTAAAACACAGGAGAGGGCTCCAAAGGCAGCGTGCTCTCAATCTGTTTGATGGATCACTTTGCCCCAGGCTTCCTCTGGCTGACATGGGGACACTGGACCTATTAGATTTCCCCAGGAGAGGTCAAGAACAGGGAGAAAAAGCAGCAGTGACAACCAGGATCTCTCCATAGGACCAGCAGTACACATGTTCTCCCAGCAGCTACTCAGCAGGAGAAGGACAGTAAGAATGAAGGCAGATTTTCGTATCTCTGACACTGGTAAATGTGTAATCCATCCCCCTCCTTACCCTAATCAGAGGAAAACTGTGAAGCCTTTTATAATCGGCCTCGTCCTTTTTTTCCTCCTCAGTTTCTTCCATGGTCCTTCCACAGGGACTCCAGGAAAGGGTGCAGGGGCTACCTGGAGTTCAGCAAGTGCTGCGGCACAGCCAGCTGAGAGGAACAGGGCTCTGTGTTCCTCTCTTCAGCAGGAGGAGTCGCTTCTTGGCCTAGAGGACACTGCCTCAAAAAAACAAACACGGGCAAGAGACAAATGGCTTTCGGTTAAAACAAAAGGCAAATGAAACTGTTATGAGAATATCATGCTATCTTGCACACTTGCCATTTCCTCAACAGCACCTTCACACCCCGCTGAGAGACTTAGCTCATAGACCATTAATGCAAACAAATTATTAAACCATTTATTTTTCCAGAAGTGAGGAGCACAGCATTTCCTAGAAGCACCAGTGAAGCTTGGGGGAAGAGCTGAGCCAAGGTACAGCTTCCAAGAGAGGACAAAAGAACAATATATCAGCCACTACTACTCTTAATTAATTCCAAAAGGATTTTCCCAGGACACCATTATCTGCAATAGTTTCAAACTGTACATTACAAGAGAAGGGTAGGAGTATTTTAGGCACACAACCTCCGTACTTGTCTGGACGGAAATGTTTAACAGGAACATTTTGGTCTCGTTTGTGCGCTTGCTCCTCAGATGCCCAAGCATTTGTCAGCTGGGAAGGGCCATATGGGAAAATTCTGGACGTGCCTCATGGCCTCATTACCAGCCTGCCTCTACTCGGGCAGCGCAGAGGGACAGCACTGAGAGATTCAGAGCACTTCACCGCGCTCCTCCCTCTGATTCTTTCACCCACAACAAAGCATTTTCCTCTCCTACCCAGAGAGAGCAAGGGTGAGCTCATATTAAAAGGAAAAAGAAACCAACACGGTGTCAGGCGACACAACAACCATTTATGCCACGTACATAGAGCTGTTGGCTAAAGCACCGAGTCAGACCACCAGCCGTCACATGATAGCCGTGGGACCCGCAGGTGCCACAAACACGACCTCCGCAGGACAGAACCCCAACCTGGCTGGCGCCACCCCCGGGAGCCACTTCAATACCCACCCCCAGCCCGGGGCGTGCCCGCGGCCACAGCCCGAGGGTGTGAGGCAGCGGAACGCGGCCCGAGCGGACCGCACAGCCGAAGGGGCCC